CAAAAAAAACGTCTACTTTTGTACCTCATTGTCATCAAAGTATTGATTAAAGCAAACAGACTTTAAAATCAGTCTTTGAAATCAAGGGCTGAAAAGACAAAGATATAACAAAAAACACAAACCCTAACAAAATGAAGAAGACTCAACGCATGTAAACAAAAAACAAAACACAAATGAGACAAAGAGGACAGCGACTCCAGCAGCTGAGAGCGAGTTAGCTGCTGAAGGGAACAGATGCAGCAGGATGTAGTTGGAGATGCAGGTGAGCAGTCTTCCAGTAGGGGGTGCTAACAGCCCTGATCATTCTCATCCATGCTCACGCTGCTCTTGCGGCTGCTGTCCTTTGACGTGTCTGGGGAGACGGACGAGAGTAAAGGGTCCCCACCTCTCACCGGCGAATGGTTGTCTTCCATGAGGATGTCGTTGAGTTTGGAGCTGGGCTTGCCGTGAGCGCTGTAGTGGCCGTCTGGGTAGTTGGAGTGACCTTCGTTCAGCTCCACGGCGCCGGGCGGCTCGGGGGTGCAGGCCGGGTGGTGTTGGTGGTGTGGGTGGAACGTGTACAGGTCCTGGTGACAGTCCTCCAGGGAGGGCTCCAGCTTGATGCCCCGGGGCCCGAGGTCGGCGGAGCAGAGGGTGGAGGACGCGATGCTGAGCCCGTGAGCTCTGGCCTGCATCTCTAACTCCTGCAAACATCCAAACACACATTTCACTCTCTGTCCCAAAAAAAAATTCATTTTCAATTGTGCTTTCAGATTTTAAACCTTCTTTCTTTTGATGGCGTCCCTGTTCAGCACATTGAATCTACCTCTACGTATGAAATGTGCTTCAGAAATAAAACTGCTGTTTGAGCCGGTCAGGATTGTTCGTTTCCACTGACGTGGCTGCGGCTCGTAAAAATCCCTTTTCTTTTCTTTCCCACTGATTTTGCAAAACGCTGCTCTAATTAATTACTGCGTAACAAATCCACGATGTGACCCATCAATCAAGGCCTGCTGAGCTGAATCACACTGATGCTGTGGTGAATCGGTTACGAGATCACGGTCTGAAATACTCTGCTGGAAAAATTTGTGCCTCTGCTCCTTTTGCCAGAAACTTGGCACATTTCCATGAAGTGTACTAAAGTTTTCTTATCGTAAGGCAGGAACTATTTATTTCAGGTGAAGTCGGCTTAAAGACGAGACCCCCTCCCTCCAACATGTCAAATACTGCATGCTTCCTTTTAATGTAATGATTTGTGTTTGATTCTGTCACAGCTCTCGGAGCCTCTTCCCTTCATTACAGCTGATATTTACCTGTATCCTCAGCATCAGATGTCTGTTGGCATGTTCAAGCTTCTTCTGACGAATCTCCAGCTCCTTTGCCCTCAGCTGCTCTCGCTGCAGCTTCCTGATGTAGTCCACCGATGCCTTCAGGATGGTTCCTTTGTTCCAGCGCATGTCCCTGCAAATCACAGAGGAGCCATTATCTTCACATCCTATAGACTCTCACAGTATCGATGTCACACATTAAGATAAGGGCACGCGGTATAAACAGTAAAGAGAGTGCACTGGGATAGCTTTGCCCTACAGTCCCCTTTGCCTTCTGTCTGTACGGTGCTAGAAACAAGAATTCGATTTGACAGTGAAACATTTTATTAAACAACGATCCCACTATACTGACGTAAAATGTTCGATGTACACAAGTACACAACTTATGTAATACAGTCATTTTAAAGTATTAAAATGAATATTTATAGTTTTACGAGGACCCGTCACAGTGCAGGCTGTCTGCGTAAATGCTGAAACAGTTCAGATAATGCTGTCAAAGTGTGTGCTGCCCACATGTGGGAATCAGAGGCGTGACGTGTGACGAAACATCGTGTGCATCTGTTTGGCCACGCCGGCTCTCCTTTTTACACAGACGTCAATCCGGTTCTGTGACTAACACTTAACGGTGAACAACAACGCCCCCTCATCGCAGCTTTTGTACAGAAACTGTGCAACATTCCCTCCTAAATGGGGCTGAACACAACGAAGAGGAGGAAGAGTTGGTAAAAAGGCCAGAGCAACTTCCCTCATGAAGGATTTGAGTTAGAAAAAGTGACACAACAAACAGAAAACTATAAGATACAAATCACGACAGTGTTTTTAAGAAAGGCAAATATATCATCGCTTCAAACTATACCATGATTTAAATACTACGCCATATATGAAGCAGTCCTATCTCCTTTTCAGCCCGTTCAGTTAAAAACAAGAGGATAATGAGAACACAGATTTGAATCAGTCACTGGTTCTCTGCACGACTGATTGTATGTGCAGGTTACTGAGGTCACTCAGTCTGAAGGACTGGGACGAACTGAAGGTGACGAGGGTTCACAGGCGAAAAAAGCAATCTTACTGGACTCACTGGGGAAAATCCCAGTTTTAGACCAGTTGTTTTTTTACAAACATTGCTCGGGGGCGAGGTCAAACTACCCCACACCCGGTCACAAGATTGTAGACAACTATTGGAATCCACGCACACTTTGCATTGTTTGTAAATCCCTGATTATTCAGTAAGTTGGATCCGGTTAGTGATCCTTCACAGTGCACGATGCAGCACAGCAATGAGGCAGAGGACACATTTCCACACGTCATCTCATAGTTACTCTAATCTTTACATTGAGGAATGACGCAGCTTGAAAACTCATGAAATGACAGAGATCATGAGGGTGAACAAGCCTGTGTAGCATATATCAATTACAAACAAACTCAGATGAAAAGAATTTCCTCGGTGGAAAATACAATTAAACTCCAGCGTTCAGTCGGCTCCTCTATCATCTGAAACACGAGTCAAGATAATGAGTCTCTGCAAAATGCATTGATCATTCATAAACACACAACAAAAGTGTTCTCTATTCCTACAGTTTCCAAGTAGAAACCACACAAATCTTTGACCTGATCACTAGAAATACGTTGACTTCTTTGTATAACTAACTGTGCCCCCCCACACAGCCAGAGACAAAGGAGTTGCTTTGCAGCGTCTTTATTAAACCAAACGAGCAAACATAAATAAAACTCAACCTAAACTTCGTGCTGGTATCTAAGCTTTGCAGCTTTTCTCTCTGCAGTCTCCTGAGGACCTGGTGTCTCTGTGTCTGTCTCAGTGTGTGTCTCTCGTGAGGCAGCTCAGCCGCTGCCTTTTGTACCAGAGGATCAGCTAACAGCTCTCACCTGTGCTGATTGATCATCTGGTCCAGGTGAAGGTGCTCTCCCAGCTCCACACTAACTCTTTCAGAAACAGTATTTTTACAGTTATAACAGACTTAAAAACAACTTCTCACGCTCCTCATACGCTCTCAGTCATTTTCGGCCTCCTGCCTCTGCACAGCTGTCACCATAACGTAGCTCAGAAACCCGTCTATAGATTCATGTAAGAGGTGGTGAAACCTTTAAACTCTTAAATGTACTTGATTCCTACATTTCTATTAATGAATTAACATTTAAAGATATTATGTAAAAAGCACATGAACTCTTTTCTTTTCTTAATGTCAAGTTATTTTAAGCCACGTGTCACTAAGTGTGTGTGTGTGTGTGTGTGTATGTGTGGGCGGAGCACCCAGCTGGGGTTTAACAAAACAACCATGGGTGGACACACTCACTAAATACACTTTATAATTAAATGAAATATTCATAATCTCATAGAAAACAAATAACATTCATACATTACAGTCACTCTGTGAGTTTCTTCATTTAGAAGTTCTATGACTGATTTAACGTTTCTTTAAATGATGTGAAACTGAGCTGCGGGACAAAATCCACAGAACTACATGATTAAGTTATTCTTGGTGAAACGTCCCTCAGTGGGTTTCCTTCATTAGCTGCCGCACAGGGACGGCAACACAAAGAGAGGATTTAGTGCTAAAACTCTGAGATACAGACTCGACTCACACTGCTGAAGCATCCTATTAGTTTCAGCTGAACTTTAACACTTTTGCACAGGACTGAGGATCGTGTCTCTCGTCCCTTGCGTTTTCATTAACATGGGGCGATATCGTCACAGCTATACAGAGACCACTAACTTCACAATCGTACACGTGGTACGATAGCAAATCCTTCAACATTGTTTGGTTGTATTTGAAATAAAATAAAATAAATGTTTTGCTTTTGTTGACATGACTGGAATAATCTATTTCACCACAGCCTATTTTTTCCATTTAACAGGCCACTGTTCTCGTAGCTTGAGGGTGAATTAACCATTTTCCTGCCGTGTCCATGGGAGATTTTAAAGGTCCAGTGTGTAAGATTTATGTGAATGGGAACTATTGGCAGAAATTTAATGTAGAATAATCCTCATGATGTTTTCTCTAGTTCGTTTCATCTGAATTGTATGAATTGTAGTTTTCTTTACCCCAGAAAAGGCCCTTTATATTTAAATACTTTATATTTACATCGAGGGGACCCTCTCTACAGAGGAAGCCATGTTTTTCACATTAGTCCAGACTGGACAAACTAAACACCTTCTGAGTTTTGGAAGGAGAGGGTGAGGTGACGGGGTGTTCAACACTAGATATCACTAAATTCTACACACTGTCCCTTTAAATCTTTTTTTTAAAAATAAAAAACAAATGAAACTTACGGGTCATTGGATTTTGGAATCAAAGTCCCCAATTCCTTGATCCGATCGTTTATGTTAAACCGTCTTCTTCTCTCAACTGCAAAAACAGAACAGAAATTACATACAAGTATTTTCAAATGTTCACCTTTACCTTGACATGTACAACTGAAGTAATTAAAGTGCAATTTAAACTTACTTAAATTGTGGTTATCCTTCTTCTGCCTTTCCTTTGCCATTGCTCGTACTTCAGCTACTGGAATAAAAAAAACATTTCGGTCAAGCAACAAAATAAACAAGTTACAGTGCAGGATATAGAAAATGTGCAGGAGCAGACGTACCCACGGGGAACCCTTCAGGCCTCTGGTAGTTGTCAAATTTGCTGCAGGAACCAGACTTATCCAGCATATGCATGATGGCTGGGGATTGTGACACTATGTAATAAATGAGGATGTGTTAAATGCTGGAAAACACACTGGAAAACACACATCAGTCACGGACAGTTGACCTCCCCATATGGAGAAGGACTGATCGAATTGTAAAATTCTGCATTAAGGACTGCAGAAAGGCCTGGAGAGCATTGTTAGAGCCTTCACAGTTTCCCTGCTTCGGAGAAGCTGAATGATAACGATTGATTTTCCACAGATCACAGATGTTTCTGATGCCAGAGGTGGGAGAAGCTCACCAGAGTATTCCCTTTTGATGTTTGGCAGGTTGGCAGGACAGGAGTTGCTGATGGGCAGACCTTGCTGGGACATACCCTGATTACCATACATGTCCATGAGGTTAGCCGGCATGGGGATCTGAGGGGACAAAGCAAAGACGTTAAACAGGGATCAACAAACCCCCTTCCACCCCCCCCCGCATAGATGCTAATGGGAAAGGTGGTGACACAGAACAGGCCTCTTTCACATGGTGACTACAGCTTAATAGATCTTATTGTATGCAAATATGTCACTGTTAAAGGAATAGTTCAACATTTTGGTCACATTTTTCCTGAGCGTTAAATGTATTTGGAAATCTGTGGAGACGTTTTTTGCGTAATAATGCAAACTAAGAAGCAAATGCAGACGAAAAACTTAATCTTGAAAATCTGCAGAATGGACAACTTGAGACTTTAAGGAGATTTATGTGAGGGACTATGTTATGAACAACTATGTTCATTTCCTCAAGTCCCTGGAGAGAAGCTGAGGAAGACTTCCCCCAAACCAAAAAACCACAGTTTAAAATCTAAAGCTGGAAATCAATACTTTAACATTCATTAACCTAAAGAGACTGAGGAGAGATTTCATTTAGTTTATGTTATTCTACACCACATCAGATGCTCTCGTGTGGTGACCTCTAACACTGTGGTTCTCTAATGAGGGTCAATGGATCCATGAAAAGTTTAAATATTCATCCACGAAAATGATATTTTACATTTTACTCCCAGTGACGGACATGAGGACATGAACATTTTCCTCCCTTGTACATGTCCTTGTAATCTCTGCTGTAACAGTGTAGTACTGGGTCTGTATGCAGGACTCAGAGTTGAGGACACCTACTGTGTTCGCCATCTGAAGTCCTGGGTCCATCAGGCCGAGGATGTCATCACTGTAGCTGGACTCCAGACTAATAATGTCGTCAATGACATCATCCATCTAAAACACAACGGATATAACGACAAGTATGAGTAAATGAGCAAAAGACGACCAAAAAAGTATATCCCATACGCCACAAGTTTGAATCCGGTCACCTCTTTCTCGCAGTTAGAGTTCAGGGTGAGTAAGGCCATAGGGCTGTTGGGGGCACTGTTGCCCGGCCCTGGCGGCATGCCCCCGTGGTCAGAGGACTGGTTGAGGCAGGGCAAGCTCAACGCCTGAGAGCCAAGCTTCCCCAGGTACTGCTTCACCTGCTGCTGCTGGGAGCGCTGGATGTGGTATTTGGTTGGGTTCTCCAAGTGAGTCTGAACCTGGTGAGGGGAGAGGGGGAACGGAAAGAGGAGAGGAAGTAGAAATTAGAAGAAAATACAACAAATACACAAATAAAGAAAACCAGAAGAAGGTTTTCAACTCAATAGAAATGCTGGTTGCATAACTATGCACCTCGGTCAAATTTAAAAATGAAAACACACCTAGAGGAGAAAGTTCACTAACTCTACTTCTATTAACCCTAATGTTCTTGTCATATTTTTTGTATATATATATATATATATATATATATATAATTATATATCAAACAAGTCGTCTTTGACTGGATTATAAAAAAACTCTAAAAATAACTCAAAGTCTTTGCCTGTTCCTTGAATTTCACAGCACCGACTTAAATATTAAAATAAACTTGACATAGATTTCAAGTGCTGCGATGCATTATGCATTTTTCTTTTGAGACACTGTCAGGAGTTGTTATCTCAAAGAGGCTCACAAGTAAACATTTTCCACATATTTCTCTTCGGCTCGACGACTCGCTGCTCTTCCTCGTTCAGACTCTGCATATTTCAGCAGCAAATGAAAAGAATTACAAGCTCGTCCGTGTCTGCGCTCCCCGGTTATGGATAAATTAGATTTCTGTGGATCATTAATCCCCACGCAGCATTAATGATCCAGAAAAGCTACTGCAGGCAAATAAACATACTTCAGACAGTGTTTGTCAAAGGCTGAGAAGGCTGAGAGATTTGAAGCGGAGCAGAGCCGCAGCGTTCCAGCTCACATTTGCAGAGTGTATTTTTAAACCTTCCTGCATTTTGCCTGATTTCTCTTGATACAGCGACGAAGACGATCTGTGATTTTGTGAGAAAAAGACACGATAGATAGTTCATCACTAAATATAGAAACTATTACACACGTCAATATGATAAAATCAAGCCTGATCCACATCACAGTCACGTTATTTCCCATGTATGCTGGCAAATGAAAAACACCTATATTCTAAATAAAGATGAATCTTTAACATACCTCATAAGAGTGATATCCAAGCATGTCAAACATCATTTACTGATCCGCCAAATGTGAAAAAACGACTAAAACAAAAGTGCAGCTTCTGTGTTTAACTTCTATCTTAACTACGAAGCGCTATAGCTGCTTCCCTCTTGGTTGCACTTTAAGACGAAGCTTGTGAGTACGAGGACAGACACATCCAGCTGATCTTTTAAGAGGGACGGAAAGTAATTAGTTATGCATGTCAATGAATCTCAGGATAACACAATGAGCCTTTTCAAATTTGTGTTGTTTTATGTAAAATCTGAATTTATTCCTTTATGGTGTATCACTTGATGTCAGGATGTGGTTCTAACAGTCAACGCCTTTGTCTTGCCAGGCCACCTCCTTTACTGAGACTTGCCCCGGGGCTCTTACTTATAGGCCCTTCCACTTTTTTTTTTTTCTTTTCAAACCCTGAGGATGCTTGGCATGTGCTCCCAGCTCCACACAGCACAAAGAATAAAGTCTCATCCTTGTTTGTCTGCAGCTCGCCTCCCCTCGTGCCTCTAATTGACATTTGTAATCGGAGACAACAGGCGTACTGCGTCTCAAAGCCAATGAATATCTGAACTGCATGATTTTGGAAACTGATATGTTTTTTCAGTTGAGGCCCAGAAAATATGGGTTGGTCTACTGAGCTGATGGGGTCATTTCCTCCACTTGGGGAAACAAGACAGAGGAAATGATATAATTGGATGAACCCACTTATGCAGCTATTGGTTTTTAAACTGAAACTCCTACAGCAGTTTATAATACATTAGCAAAGGTGGAGCAAAGAAAAAATAAAATAAAAAAACTTTGACTGCTGAGCACAAACATTCTTATGGATCATCACTCATTCATTGTGTTGTCTTGCTATCTGCATGTTGTTGTCATTTACTCCTTCTGTTGCTTTTATGTTTGTGTTTCTCGCTGCTTTAATAGTTGCTAAAGGAAGAAAGGCGTGCGGACGTGAACTTGGCTCCAGGCAGGAGGATGACATTTAGGCTGAGAACACTGACGCTGTTTCGAGTTGAATATGAATGTCAGGGCTTGCGGACACTTGGATGACACCACAGGAGCAGTATGGAGGCATTATTTCTTTTTTTACATTCTTTTTACCGTCACCATTTACTTCAATTATATTAGACTTGGCTGCAACACTGATCCTGAAACACCAGAAGTGTTTTCTGGACTTAAAGACTTCACCCACCCCTCCATCGCCATAGTGATGAGTAGATAATGAGTGAATTTTCATTTTTGGGTGAACTATCCCTTTAATATTTTTAATGCTTTTATTGCACACCGGATGAAAACGACCCTCTGTGGCATATTTTCATAAATGTTATAAATATACACTGTCCCTGTCAAGTAAAGTACACTCCGTGAGCACGTTATTAAAGACACCTGTATAGTCTGTAACAGTCAACATGCACCTTAAAGACAAACTGCGTTGCCTAGATACGAGAGATGCTTTGGTTTTACCTGTGGTGTCGGTTAGTGCTCAAGATCACTCGTAAACTTTGGGTTTTTATTTTCAGTGTAATGTTTTGCATTATGTGATCGTTACTCTATTTTATTCATGTGTTATAAGATTCGCTGTCCACAGCTGATGAAGGAGTTAATGATAAACAAGTAGCTTTATGGAAACCTCGGTGCCAGTGAGGCTGTGTGTGTGTGCGCCTGGGCAGAGCGTGCAGGAGGACATGACGTCTGCTGCGGAGATCACGTGTTTTCATTTACATTGACACGAGCGTCAGCCTTCATCGCCAGAAGCTCAGGAATCTCGTGGTCTGAATTCTTAGTCAGCATCTTCTGCGTGTATGTGGCTTCTATTTTTCATCTTGGTATTTGTAATATGTGGTGTCTGAAATGCTTTGTGTAGTCCTCCCCATAAAAGAAATGTATCTTTAGGTTTGAGATCCACAGGTCCTGAGGAATTTGGAGAAAGCCTGAACGTATGGTAGGGCATTAGGTCACAGTTCTAAGGGGTACACTAAATTTGAGCTAGTGCCTTCTCTTTTCCTGTCACCGGACAAATGAGAAGAGCTGGATGGAAACCAGATGTGTTTTCTTTAAATTAACGAAAACAACACTCCTATATAAACGAGGAGTTGAAGTTGCCCCCTAAGAAGAGATTCACATTGGCTCCGAATCTCTCTCCAGGCAGGAGAGATTCACATTGACTTCAGATCTCTCCATAGGCAGATTGCATTGCTTGTATTGATGCTGAACTTTTTTGTAATAAACATTTTATACAATTAAGACGGTGTCATCGGAGATTCCTTCATCATCTTCACATCATCGCAACCCTAATATACGACAATTATTTTTTATTTTTTATAAGTTTTGTAACCGTCAGGTGTTAGAAACTTCACTTCTGGGAAACGTACAGAGCAACTAACTGAGATATTTGCGCTCTCACATGCAGCTTCTCCAGGGTATTAAAAAAAAGCAAGAGTTCAGTACAGGTCTGAAAGCAGCTGAAATGAATTCAGTTCAGTTGTAGCGATGTGCATTATATTCAGAGGTTTTTCACATAATTTACTGCTCCCATCTTATATGTAACTAAGGGTGACACAAACAAATGAAAGCACATCTCAATATGTGGTGACCACCAACAAATACATTGAGATATTATGTTAGAAACAAATGTGTTCATTCATGGCAGAGCTGTTATATGGGACCATATAAGATCCTGCAGGTGTGAACTGTAAAATAACCACGGAGAATGTTTTAAAAAAATCTGTTTAACATGCTCATTCTTTAACTTCTCACGACAACAAGAACTCTTTCACAGCTTTTCTTCATGCTCAGCTCCATTATCATTGTTCTGCAGAGGAGACTCATGTGAGGTGCATTAACATGCATTGTATCCTGCAGGTATATGACTGACATCACCTTAGGCTGTAAATCATCATCACAGGGTTGTAAAGCTGGTGCCACTGAACAGAGGCACATTTACAGCACATTAAGAACAACTAGTGATCACGCTTTGGGCAAAAGAAAAGAAAGAGGTTCATTAGTGTTGGTCATTAATAGAGTCTCTTTAAAAAGATTTGAATGTTAAAGGGATTTTTCTTCTGTAATCAAATTCAATACAATCACAACTCATTAGTTTGTGGGAAACGTCTCTAACTGTGGCTGCAACACTTCCCATGAGTGTGGTGTAGCTGAAGAATCATCATTTACAAGCAGCTGCTTTTGTGGGAAAATAGAGTCTTTAGCAACTTTTGTTATTTTCTGTTCCTGCTTTGAAGGTCAGGTTTACATGCTGAAGTCATCATCACTACAGTGGTTAAGTTAGGTGTCAGCTTCTCTGGGTTTTCCATAGAGTTTTTACTTGACTTTGCAATATTATTATTCATGTTCTATATAGTTAATATTAATTTTTTTTAAATTGCATTATGTGCAAAATTTCATATTACTTACTAATATTGTCATTGATACTTACTGCCACTTGCCATCTCATGTAAATTACTTATTTTGTTCTCATTTGTATTGTTATAGGCACAAGTTCTGCATTACTCCATTTTCTTAGGCCTTTATTTTTTAGATTGAATTCTCTGTATTTGTATTCACTGTATTCTATTATATAAATTATAGTGTAGTCTTGGAGTAAAGTAGTAAAAGAAAGTCCTTTGGGTTTAATTAACTAGTTTTATCTTAACTTATCTTATCTTCTCTAACTATGCCATATTTAAAAATACATCAGTGACAATGGCAATTTTTCAACATAACAAGGACTTTCATTTTTGATATTTTAGGGTTTCCTGATAATGATGACTGTTGTTTTTAGATTTCTGATCCTGTTAATCATTTCCAGACCTCCTAAAATTCATCTTGTGACACTTTGGTCAGTCCCTGACCCCCAGGTTGGAAACCGCTGCAACAAGCAGACATAATGTTTTGTGTCTTTCTCTGTCTGTCCTTGTCTATTGTAAATTCACACATCCATACAACTGATAGCTGAAAAATAAAATAAACACGAATTATTATTGCTTCTCAGTTGTTTGTATCCTCCAAGTTTCAGTTTGAAACCATGTTGGACCAGACTCGTATAAAATATCAACATTTAATAAAAAGTTTTAAGTGTGTGTTGTAGTAATTAAAGTATGAATGTTTGAGTTATTACCAAAATGTTTGTGAAATTTGTTCCAAGCATTCCATGTGAATTGTGGTCACACGACAGGAGGTCAATGTAACGCTGACCTTATACTTCTGAACAACACCTCGAGTAAGTTTGCATCAAATTTGAAGAGAATCCACAGTGGCCTTGACTTTTCGAATCATTTAATCTGTGAGTCCAGGTGAATGTTTGCAGTCGGCTTTTTCATGAGAACGGTAACAAACTAACGCCTCTGACTGCATAAAAAACGGTACAAAGGATTACTGTAAGAGCCCCATACAACTGTCTCTCCCTCCTGCACTAAGAATAGAAGTTGCGAGGTCGATGAGTACAATATGTGCACAAGCCAAAGTCAATGGTGTTCCATTAGAAAATGTTATTTGCTCACTGCAGACTTTTTGTCATTAGTCAATTAATGCATTTATTGATCAAATGAAAATCACAGACTCAAAGTTCAAATGAAAACATTGTTAGTTGAAGATAAATTGAGGATTATCTATTTTTCTTTTTTTCATTAGTGATAAAAATATCTTGATTTTGGTCTGTTTGTCGAACAAAAACAAAACAATGTGAATGCATCCCCTTATGTGCATTGCATAATTTTAGAGGCCCAAAGCTTTGCTATTTAATACAGAAAATAATCAGTGGATTAATTGATTATGAAAACATAAACAAGCATTAGCTGCAGCTCTTACGCCATAAAGTGAAAAGTCATTTCAAAGATCTAGCAGTTCAGTTTTGTCTTTGCATAAAAGAGCACTGGTGTTTTTTCCAGCTTGTTTCTGTCCTCGAGGACTTCTTAAATTATCACGCATAATTAAGATGATCTCACTGGTGTGAGTGCACTGGAGCCCCAGAGGGCTGCAGACCTCGAGCTGGAACATCTTGGCCTTAAGATGCTATGAAGTGAAAAGTCATTTAAGACTCCTGAAGAGTGAAGCTGCTTTTCATCGAGCATTTCCAACGTGGACACATGCACCACAGACTAGAGTGGTCAGCGTATGAAGAAACCACAGAGCAGAGAAAATGAATTACAGAGAAATCTCAGAGCCAGCAGCCATAACTTAAATTTTACTTTGCCCAACTTCACTGAATGTACTCTCTCCAGAATACACAGTTTATAAATGTGACATCAGCCAGCTCGCTCTCAGCATCAGCAACCACAGCAAACAAGACGTCTTGTTGTTTATCAGCTTCGTTTCAGCGATCCACGGCCCCGAGGCGCTCGTCAACACGACCCCAAACGAGTCAAAAACACTGAGGGAGAGCGCAGGGGGGAGCGCAGAATGACAAACGGCGATTTGTTTTCTTTTTTTTCAACTTGTGTTGCTTTGGGCAGTCTATGATGGTCCGACCAGGATACACTAACAAGAATGCCCCCGTTTGCTGTGCAGACGAGAAGAATAGGCCACTTTGTCTCACAGTTAAGCCGTTAACGTGCACTGGGGAACTTGCAACACAACAACTGTGATGCTATTGTGTGAGCAGCTACATCAGAGCAACGTGTGGTCTTCTTCGCCTCTGACGTATTGTCATGCTATTACGCAGAAGCTTGACATATTAACAGCATAACACAAACACTTAACACTGTTATGTTCAAGTTAGCATCTATGCTAATGTGGCGAGCAGTTTTGTGCAGCTCCATTGCTCTAAAAGCTAAAAGTTAAATACTGAGGCTGAAACTATTTAGAGTTGCAGAAATACACTGTAAATGATCATAGATTATATATTAATCTTGTGTTGGAAATAATCTGCTAAAAGTTTCAAATGTCTTTTTGAATTAGTTGACTGATCCAAATCCAAATCAATTATCTGTGCGGTATCTTTGTATACTTTCTGATGCGTACTAGTCACGAGCTTCTCGCTGTTTAATCCAAAAGAAACGTACATTTTGTACGAGGTTGAAGACTTTGTTCTTTTCATGGCACCATAAATCCTTTGAGAAAAAAAAGATTCAAGAAATCATTTTTTAACCCTTTTAGGAAGTTATCCTACATACATTTCAAAGCTGTGTTTTTCCCTCAAATATGCCGTGGAATGAGAGCAGTGGGGGCTAATTACGAGCATTCTTCACTGAATTAGCGTTCGGTGTGTGGTAAGGCTGTGCTCGCCTTTGTCTTGATCCCTAAACTGATCCTTTACTTATTCCCCAGAAGGTCAGAGGTCACTTGGTTAATTAAGGGTCCAATCAGTCTTTAGATAAACTCATCTGAGCTTAATGTTTGCACTTTTTGAGGTCCAGCGGCTCTGCCTGGTACCCCTGAGCTTTTTGTGGACTCTGCTAATCTACCCACAGACAGGGGAGCAGGTTAACCCAGCTCAACAGCGCCAAGCTGGAACGGCCTTTTCATTCGCGGACTTCAGTCAATGAAGAATGTCTGTAAGCTCTCGGCAAAGCAGATAAATTACTCTAACTTGATGTATTGTACACAGGGCGGGGGTTCAGGGTGGGGGCGTCCTAAACCTCTCAAAGAGCAGCAGATTATGGGGAGCAAGTAATGTTTATGCTGCATGAGGAGGGCAATGTTTTCAATGGAGATACTGTATGTGTCCTTCACTGCTGCCACACACATCCAGGGCGATGAAAGTGTGGCTGAGAAAGTAACCATGAAATCTCTGAGTGGATTTAGTTCAACACAAAGGATTCAACAGCTCAGTTTAGCAGTAATTACGCAATTAAAACTTTGATGGATTCTCTGAGTAGACCTTGTTTTAACTAGGGGGTCTAAATAACTGCTATAGTACACATTCAAATGTTTAGCAGGTGCTATACAATTTTTGATTGGGGTAATATCTGAGACAACATTGCTTTGTATTTTCCACATAGCAGTTTTTGGAACCAAAGAATTTTAAATGTGTAAATAAACACAAATGCAATTATAAGTTTGTAAAACATTTCCATAAAGGTCACATATTTTTTTGCAAATCTGAAGAAAATCAAAAGCTCACTTTGCTAGAACGGATGCATAAATGTCTGGCAAAAAAAATCCATGTACATTTAAATCTGCTTCAAAACATGTAAAAGCCACATTTTCCTTTGTCAAGATTGCCTCAAAACAATCCTTGAAATCTTCGTACTGAGCAACTTTGTGAGGTTTTCTTATTGTGAATCAAAGACTCCAAGTCAAATGATATTAATTTATAGATTAAACCACAAAATAGAAATAGATCAGCAAGCCAGAGTCACGCAACATCGCTCAAACACATTTCTAACGCCATTTCATAAAGATTACAACCTTTCTGAAAACAAACGGACAAACAGAGAAACTCACCAGAAGTGTCTTGTTGAAACGCAGCGTCTTGCACAACGCTCTCTCTACTACTACAGCAAAACCTCAACAGTGTCCTGTCCCTCGGACTGCCAGGGAATCAAAGCTATGAAAAGATGTGAATGTAGCTGAGCAAATAGGATTAAAGATGGCTAAATCCAAATGGCTGGAAGCACAGCGTGCATTAAAGAGGAATTCTCTCAGGAAAGATAATCCCCATATACGCATTTTAACACACTCCACTCACTCCTGTGTTTTTTACACACAGTCCAAGACAACCCTTGATTGCCTGACTGTCCACACACGAGTGAAAAACTATAAATACAGCTCCGCCTGCACCGGTCAGACCGCTGCAGTGACACATGCAACTTCTAATTCCAGAGGTGGAAACTTTACACGTACACTGTAATCATTTTGACATCCTGATAATCGCACATGCTGCCACCTTCCCTCTTCTTCTCCTGGCCACTACAAACCATCACCGCTGTTTGCTCACCTTCAGCACCTCCATCGGTACCTGTGCAGCAGGCTGCAAACTGACAGGCGCGCTGACGTTGATGGCGGGGGTCTGGGACGCTGTGGTTTGTGGGTACGGGGAGGCCTGTTGTCTCCGCTGCTCCCGCCGCTCCTGCTCCTGAAGCTGCTCCCGCATCAGCTGTTGCCGCAGCAGGATGCGTGATGTCATGGCCGAGGAGCTCAGCGGGGGCTTGGAGGAGCCGTGCTGGTCCGACGGGCTGCTGCCGGGAGGAGAGAGAAGCCAGATGAACGAGAGAGAGTAGTTGGATGTCATGGAGGAGAGGAGGGGGGGGGGGGTGATAGGATGGGTGAGGTAAGGAGAGGTGAAAAGAAAGAGTGATGGCAGAAAGAGGGTAAGGAGAGGTCGGACGAGGAAGGAGAGGTCAAGCAAAAGAGACGAGAGAGGGGGATGATGAGCAGGAAAAGTGGAGGAAGATGGAAAGAGGGCAGATGGGGTAAAAGGTTAATATGATGAAAGGAAAGTGGCTGATCAAAGGACAAATTTCAACTCTCATAAAACTATTGAATTTCAGACATTTTTTAAGCTTCCACCTTTTCAAATTTGAGAATTTGCTTCTTTTCTTTCATCTGTGATAAATCTCAGTAAATATTCATCACTGGATTTTAGACAGTAGTCAAAAGGCAGCTGCTGCAGCTTCTTCTTTACGCATCACAGAGAGGAACATACTGTATTTCATTACAACGCTGCTTCAAGTTTTCCCACTCTCTTTAAATTTAGACGGCCTCTCCCCCAGACAGAGCCCTGCGGTCCTAAAATAGAGAGACTCTGTTGAAGCAGAAGTTGTCGGGCTGAAGCCTTCATCGAGTGAGTGATCCTTTTGATAAAACTCAGCAAAACGTCTCGCCAATCCAGCTGTGCAGTAATCGCACTAATTAGCCAGCGGAGAGTCAAACACAGCTTCGGTCTGCAGCGTTTTCCTCAACATACCATAATAACCCCCCCTGCCTCTGCCTCCCCTCTGCACTGAATATAATCTCATTCTCTGACACCACACCCACTGAACTGTGCACAAGAGCAAACATTATTCTACAGTATATCATAAAACCACATTTTCCGACCGTTATCAGCAGTTAAATGAGCTTTTATTTTGTTGTTCCACTCATATCTGAAGAAAGAGCAAAAATGGTTCCTGAATAAACTAATGAACCAACAGATTTTATGACTTTTCTAGATTTAGCTGTAGCTCTTCCTTTGTGTTAGTGACTTTGGACAGTTGTGCTCCTTTCATCAGAGAAATTTCAAACACCAGTGGATCTAATGCTGGAACAGTTTTCGCCGTCAGAACTGAACCCTTTGATATTTCTCCTCCCCCCCCCCCCTTCATCACTGCGTGAGTGTTTTTGAGTTTCAACAAAAGAGTAGTTTCATTTCCTTTTCTCTTCTCCATTTACGTAAATAAAACTTGAACTGCAGGCAACAGGGCCATAACTGTGATTAAACTAGAGCTGAAACAAGTAGCCGATTATTTTATTCACAGGCAACAGTTTTGATTACCCAGTTATGTCTTGTTAGCTAAGTCATGTGTCATTTTTAAGCTGAAATGTAACCACTGTTACAACTTTTCACTTCTGAGATTGTACACTGAATATCTTTGTGTTTTGTCATTACAAACAGGAAGCTGATATTCAAGTTGCAATGGGTGAATTGACTCATCAAGCAAACAACAGTCAACAGATTCAGAAAACTAGAGGTTAACTCAAGTGACAAACCTCCAAAAATGAGCCATGAGTGCCACATATATACCTATTGACCAAACCAATAAACAAACACAGGGGAGAACTACAGAAACAGTAAGTAAATCTCAAAGCAAAAATACTCTAATCCCCCTTAAGAGCTCTTGGTTTGGGCCTCTGTTTAGAACCAGGTTCCACCCTCAGCTCAGGTCTTTTGCTGGACCAGGGAGGAGGACTCCAGGCAATGCAAACAAAGACAAATTAACTAATGCAATTTAAAACCACAGTCAAATATAGATGTGTGATCTTTAAGTGACTGCAAATGAAGGTAACTCAGTATGTGGTGGTGATGTGGGTGAATGTGTGAAACTAAACCTTCAAACTCTGTCCATCACAGGGGTACTTGTACTTTGAGTATTTACAGTATAAGCTGCTTTATACTTTTGCTATATAACATTTTATAGGAGTGCATTGTATTTTACTACACTGCATTTACCTTACAGCTGCAGTGACTGAACAGAATCATATTATCAATATAAAATATATAAGATAAATGATGAAGCATTATCTTTACCAGCTGCTCACTTCAAAGTGATGATTATAGAATTATTACAATCCATCCATCCATCCTTTCTTTTGACATAGAGAACTTGAAATATATGTTTTCATGCTATTCCACTGATTGACAGTTGGTGGAAGTGAAGCAGCAACAAACAAAGCATTGGAGCAGTGAGGAAGAAGACTCCTATAAACAATGCAGGTATTTTGGTGAGAATCACTGTACGTAAACAGATCTTTTGTTTGTCTGCAGGGCAGTTTTAAGAAGCATCCGCCACTTGCAACCTTCCCAGCATGCATTTGTCCTGTGTGAAAGTGCAGGATGTTTACTTTTATGGGGTAGATGAAAGTTTAGTAAAAAATGTCACCTAATGATACATCTACTGTGTTTTCACACACATATATCAATGTCCCCATTTAACTTTCTCTCATATGAACACGTGTATTAGTTCTTCCTCTCAGTGATGCCAGCTTCTTTATTACTTTAATTCCCATTTTGGTTTTGCGACTAAAAAGTTCAGCTTAACACGTTCAACCTGACTCAGAGTCCAAATCTCTGTACAAGCTTCTTTCACAGCTTTATATCTGCTCCCCCTGAACTTTACACCAGAAAAACACACATCACTCACAGGCGACGCCCCTCAGTCTTACAGGCTGCCTTTTAATAGTTCTGGCAACAACTCGTCTGATCAAAACATCTTCACACTGTACGAAAACATACGTTCATTTTGATCTCAAACAAAACAACATTCTGAAGGTGCAGCAGCACTTCCAGGAATAAGAGGCAATTCACCAAAGTCAGCATGTGAGAGAAAAGACACATGTAAACCTGGACTGTTTCAGGGAAACAACGGGACGAACATGATGCTCTTAAAGTTCTTCAAGTTGTTTTGTACCCTACCTCCCTACACACCTACCCACTGAGTTATTTGGTGCTTCATGCATCATGATTGACAGCTGACTTCGGTCTGTATTGGCAGGACCTCGCTAAAGCTCCTCTGTCGCAGACTTGACGTCTATAAGGCGCAAGATGGCAGCGTTTGTATCCAGGACATTTTGTGGTCCAACTTTTTATTCAGTCTATGATCTGTACACAAACATTTCTCTTTGCTGCAGAACAACAGTGTCTTAATAAACCTTAACATTAGCACAATAGAGATCATCCACGTCTATATATCTGTTGGGCTGGACTTAAAATACAAACTAAATGTGAAGACTCAGTGTAAACATCAACCATATTAAAGGGTCTGAACTGGAAGAGTCTCATTACACTTGAATAATTACATGTTTCCAAACAGTGGACAGAGATTTACAGCTGAGGTGTGCTGAGAGTTGTAGAACCTCATGATTTTCTTTTCATAAATTCCTGATTATCAGATTGACTTGTGTGTATGTGTGTGTAAGACTGACCAGAAACTCTCTACAAAGCAGAGATCAACTTCTCTTTCTTCTTTTCTACTGTTCTGTGGCTTTTTGCCAAACAAACTGAAACACATAAAAAGCTCTTTTGTCCTTTTTAACTTTTCGCTGGTGTGTGTGTGTGTGTGTGTGTGTGTGCGTGAGATTGGGCACACCTCCTCTCATATTTGTGTATCTCAAAGAAAAAAAAACACAATGGCTGTACAGTCTTGAAGAGACCCACCCACCCAACTCATGATTCCTCTGAATCTCCATCATACTCCATGTTTTACGAATCAGTGCCGAGCGTTTGACGCAGGTTTTACTGACTGACAGTGTGACTGAGACTAAACCTTGAAATGAAGGAACTCTGCATTCTGAGAAAAAAAGCGAGGGTAAGTAGAATTCAGTGGAGCGACGAGTTAAAAATCTGAGCTGTTACAGGATCTGTCAGACCAGTGCCACCTGTACCACTGCAGGTAATTCATAGAACCTTTAGTGAGCGACAGCTCTGCCTGATGGACAATAACGGTAAAGCAACAACCTGATTTAAAGACTAGTAGAATCTTACTTTACTTTGCTCAAACTGCTTTTTTGCTACAAAATAAACCCATTTGACGCCTTTTATGACGTTTTCAGAGTTTTAGATTTTTAAGCTTTTTACTTCTTAGACATTCGCTCAATGCTTATTCTGCAATTTAACCAGTTATTGCCAAAACTACACCAAACACACTGCACAAGGAGAAATCTGCTCAGGTTAAAGACTGTATATACTTCCCACACACGGCTCTGTGCACACTGTCCTTCATGTACACATGTTATTGTAGTATTCTACAAACATACACAATCCAAATTTATGCCTCAATGCGAGACAACAATATCATAGATGCTGAGGCGCCATACTCACAGACAGTCAAAGGAGCAGGGTCTGTACACTTGCACTCCTAAGGCCTCCATATTAGTTTGTTTTTTTCTGAAGGTGCACCACCCGCCCTTGGAGCAGTGAAAGTCATGCCGGCGGTGCAGCGCTGAGAGAGTGTCAGAGGGGGGAGGCTCCGGGGCCTGGCCTGGAATCTCCAATCGCCACACAGTCCCAGGCAGAGGACCAGCCCCGTCCGGAGCAACAGCGGAGCAGAGCAGAGGGCAGGCGCCAACTGGAAACACACCGTTCATCAACACGCCACTTTAAAACCACGCAGATACTGTTTCACTTTAAGAAATGTGTTGCCACCTTAGAGTGTTCACCCAGCAACCAGGTCTTCTAGACTGACCTGAGGAAACCCAGGGTCTAAAAAGAATGCCAACTTTTCATGAGCTAAGAAATCAGCCTGTTTTCAGCTTTTTGACAATGAATTTTCAGATCACACAATGAGGTTTTAACTTGTTTACTTAGAGGTTTGACCTTCACTCTACAGAATGATGTATGAGCAGAGTTTGAAAAGCTGTTTTCACAGGTTTCTCTCTTGAGATTTAGTCAACATCAGCTTGACTAAAACAAAAACTTAATTTAAGAAAAAGATATAGATATAAGTGTAGTATTTATCATGACAATAAGAAATTGTTGTGCACC